TAAAGGGTTAATGATGCCAATTGATGATGAACAGTGAAAATGACTAATTGTAATCTCTTCCTAACAGGGTAAACCACCAAAAATTAAAAATGCATGATTATATGGTGTCATGGTTTTTTTAACAAAAAATTTGGTAATAGTGGAATCAATGGGGCAAAAACAGCCACCAACTTTAAATTAGGGAGAACAAAATGAAAATCAGTTAAAAACAATGACAATGCTGATTCACAAGTTCAAGATTTTATTCACCAAATCAGTGGCATCATTTATGAATTTGGCAATTAAAGAATTGAAATCCTGTATTTTTTCTAATTTTGATCAGTACCGAAGTTTAGTAACAGATTTATACAAAAAAAAAAAAAAAAAAAATTCTGAGAAAAAAACATTACCTTATGCATTTTTAAAGCAGTTTAATTTAGTGAATGTTTTCATCCCTAACCTAAAAAGGGTAGTACATTTGCCCAGTGTGTATTGTTGAGGTTTTTGTTTTGTTTTGTTTAATTTTCTCAAAACATGTCTCAAAATAAGATTTGTCACCAAAAATCATCCTGCTAGCTGAAACACAGAAAAAGTTAAGATCGAAATTAAGACTCAAAATCACTCCAGAGTGGATTAAAGCATCCTAAACAGCACATAAGCGATAAATAGTTGGTCTTGTGGAGTGCAAAAAATTTGATTGCAGGGGAATGTGTTTATTAAGGAATACAAGATAATTACTTTAAATACAAGGGAGAACTAATGAATTATGAATGACTGGTTAGTTAGTGTATTTCTTTCCTGTGACCCTTTTTTATCGTCTATGTATTTCTAGCACACTGAAAATATTATTTAATCACATAACTTTTTTTAACCTTTTTTGCAGAATATATATTTTTAATTAAACTTTATGTAAAGGACAAAACTGTGATTTTGTGAAATCTGTGTTTTTGCAAAGTTACATTACCAGTAACTGTCTTATATGATGAAAAGCTTTTCCTTTGTTTCTTTGACAAGTTAAACAATGTGTCTTCAGAAAGAGAAACAGTCAAACAGTTAAGTCACTATACACAGCGCACACACGACACTGTAAAAAAAAACATCTGTAAAATTTACAGTATACAAATGGCAGCTGTAATTACTGGAATTTAACCTTTAAAAATACAGTATGAATAAATTTCTAAATAATACAGTAAATGACCGTATTTTGTACTTTTTTGCCATACACAAATGTTTTGAAGTACTAGGATCTACACAACATAATTTTGTTACACAGACAAAAACACAACTGTAAGCAGGTGTGGATGAGATTCATTTGATGAAGCAAAAACACATCAGAAACAACTTTTCCCAAGCAGAGAACAAGCGTAGTAATTAAATATGCTTTCATAAAACCACTAAACATTATAATGGTAACACACATAAAAATTATTTATCAACATTATATTTCTCAACATAACCTCAAAAGTGTATAACTCAAGAGAAAAAAAAAGTTGAAGTCAGAATTATTAGCCCCCGTTTATTTTTTTCCCAATTTCTGTTTAACAAAGAGATTTTTTCAACACATTTCTAAACATAATACTTTTAATATTTCATTTCTAATAACTGAGTTTTTTTTATCTTTGCCATGATGACAGTAAATAATATTTTACTGGATATTTTTCAAGACACTTCTATACAGCTTAAAGTAACATTTAAAGGCTTAACTAGGTTAATTAGGTTAATTATGCAGGTTAGGGTAATTAGGTAAATAAACGATGGTTGGTTCTGTAGACAATTAGAAAAAATATAACTTAAAAGGGGCTAATAATATTGACCTTGAAATGGGTTCTAAAAATTAAAAACTGCTTTTACTCCTCCAGAAGAAAAAATAGTATCCGACATACTGTGAAATATTTTTTGCTCTGTTAAACATCATTTGGAAAATATAAAAAAGATTAAATCAAAGGGGGGCTTATAATTGACTTTTCTTTTATAATTAGCTTATAAAAGTTTCATGCAGGAAATTCATGGAAACGGATTTACTATAGCATTTTTACTGTTTTTTTTTTTTATCGTTGAAATCATGGACATTTTGCGTGTATGTGTAGTGGTACAGGAGAATGGGTCACATTAATTATTATTATTTGTAATTATATTTTTATCATTATGTGAAAAATTCTACATGTATTAAAAATATAAAGTAAATATAAATACACCAAATTCTATTTCATATTAATTTAAATCTACAAGACCAATGTCATGTTGCTGTAGACAGGCTGAACAGGTTTTCTTCAAACGGCCTGTTGTCAGCTGTTTTAAGAGACTGACAGTACAGTCGATTCAGCACCGGAGCTTCAATAATGAACCAAATATTTTTGTTTGGTGGTCATGAACTGGGTGTTACAAGTAGGAAAGATTTTTGCCCTTGAAAAAAGGGAAAATGCAAACAGCTTTCTCTTCCTGAGCTTCAGCGGATATCTGTTTCCCTCACAGGATGTCATTCCCACCCTGAAGCCCCTGTTTTCCCTGCACCTACTGCACAGTCGTTCCCTCACGCACATGGCCTGATCGCAGAACATTGCATTCCGCTCATCTGATTTCCTCATATGCAGTTATCTTACATAACATCCTCAGATGGGATCATTTAAATAATTCATATGTCAGTTTAAGGAACATATGGACAAAACTCTGTGCTTGCCTTGAACAGATCCTTTGACTGAGTTCTGCCAGCAGCAAAAAACAAAACCTGTCATGACTCAAAAAGAGAAGGGCATTCAAATCAATGCAAACGAAGTCAAATGTCAGAGGCTGTTTTTGCTTTGAAGAGACAGTCGCATTCTTGACCTGTTAAATAAATGTTGCATGATTTTTCAAAATGACGCACACACCTTTCTCTTAAAGAGATAGTTCAAACAAATGATTTGAAATCTGTCATTATTTAAATTCACTTGTCCCAAAACTGAGTTTTTGTTGAACACAAACGAAGATATTTTGAAGAATGTTCAGTTATTTGTTTGCATGTCAATTGCTGCTTTTTTAACATTTGCAAATACTTCAAGTATTTTGTTTAATGAATATATAAAAGCACTTGAGTGTAAGTAAATGTTGAGGATTATTTTCACTTTTGGCTGAACTGTCTCTTTAAGATGAAACTTTTTGGAAAAATCATGATCTCAGTCTACCAGGTAAATTGTGTGACTAATATTGCCTGACATGCGGTGTCCGGAAAACAGGCAAGTTCCTGTCCTTTGTACAGTCATTGTAGGACCAGGCAGGAATTATCCACCTATTGCTGACATCACTCTTGCATATACGCTCAATCAGGATATTGCATATTTGGGGGATATTTTGTCATTAATTTAGCCTCTTAAAATCAACAAATCTTAAGACATAGTTACAATAGTTACATAGATAATCTTAATTCAGTTTCAGTTATAGAATAAACTCTTTTGTAAAACTACTGTATGTAATTAAATAAAATATAAAAAAATATATATCAGTAAATTAATTTGATTATATAAAAAAAATTTAATACTGAATATTTGTACCAAGCTTACATTTTCAAAGCTTCTATATATCTCAGGAATAATCATTGAAGTGTCAATAGAGACCAAAACTCAAGGTTACTTCATTTTTCATATTCATATTTCATACTTCATTTCATGCTTAACAAATGGATTGTAACTATAAAAACAATTTATCACTTATAAATAAATTATATATATATATATATATATATATATATTTTTTTTTTTTTTTTTTTTTTTTTTAACTATTAATAAAGGGATAATTATTTAAAATAATTCATTCATTTTCCTTTGGCTTAGCCCCTTTTATTCATCAGGGGTCGCCACAGCAGAATGAACCGCCAATTTATCCAGCATATATTTTACACAGCGGATGCTCTTCAAGCTGCATCTTGGTACTAAACAACGCGAACAAAGGGAGAACATGCAAACTTCACACAGAAATGTCAACTGACTTAGCCAGAACTCGAATCGGCAACCTTCTTGCCGTGAGGCGACAGTGCCAACCACTGTGCCTCCTAGCCACCCCTTAAAAATAATTATAGAGAATTCATTCATTTTCTTTTCGGCTTAGTCCCTTTATTAATCTCGGGTTGCCACAGCGGAATGAACCGCCAACTTATCCAGCATATATTTTACTCAGCGGATTCCCTTCCAGCTGCAACCCATCACTGGGAAACATCCATACACACTCATTCACACTTATACACTACGGATAATTTTAGCATACTCAATTCACCTATAGTGCATGTCTTTGGACTTGTAAAGGGAAACCGAAGCACCCGAAGGAAACTTACACGAACACGGGAGGAACATGCAAACTCCACACAGAAATGCCAACTGAACCAGCCGGGCTTCAAACCAGCGACCTTGCTGTTAGGAAACAATACTAACCACTGAGACTCTGTGCCACTTCTTAAAAATAATAATAGGAAATAAATAACGTAGTTATTTATTTTTCCTCATGTAGGCTAGTTTTAAATCAGGTTCTTTCTTCTGTTGAGCACAAAAGAATGTATTCTGAAGAATGCTGGTAAGCACCCATCCACAGGGCAAAAAACTTTAAAGGTCAAGTAGTGCCAGCTACATTACCAGCATTCTTCAAAATATCTTCTGCGTTCAACAAAAGAAATAAACTCTAATAGATTTTGTGCAATAATTATGACATAATTATTATTGGTTTTTAGTTGAACTATCCCTTTAATTATTGTAATTATATCAGCCATATTGTAATGTCATACATCATATTGTAATTTACTCATAGCATATAGCTTAATTTGATTTGTATTTTGTAATTAAATTATAGCTTACTTTCAACAGCATCCCATCAAAACATGATTTTGCAAAGCTTTTTTAGCAGATTTTTCTATTTTAAAAACATTAATAATTGTATTTTACTGACTTGTCCTCGAAACATGTCTTCAGACTAAGTATAGAGAGCAGCAGGATGCATTCACTTATGAACAGTCATATTTTCATAGATTATGGAGATGGGCGGAGCCTCTTTTCGTCGGCTAAATGAAGCTGTTTCTCCTCACTAGAGTCTCAATGGATGAAGGCGAGTGGAAGCTGGCGTAGAGCGGTCTGCATATTCATTTGCTTCACAAGGATTTATGTCCATCTATTCAGCAATTTATGGATTATGCGAATGACATTTTGACCAGCCCCTGAACTGGTTTACGATGAGCCCAATGTGTGTCCTCCTAATGTGATTAATTTTTTTTTTTTTTGGTTTGTTTTTGTGTTTGTTTCACAAAACAGTGCTAAGGGTAGCCTAGTAATCTTAGTATAGGACGTTATTTACATCAAGTGTCTTCGCAGCATGAACATGGATGAAGACAACCGAGGTGAGGTTTCTGTTTTATTCGCAAACACAACCAGCTGTCAGTCTCTGGTTTGTCAGAAAACCAAACCACCTACATAGACAGCATTTTTGAGTGTAACAGGCGCGTGCGGTTATTTGAGAGAGCGTTTAGATGTCCATCACTAGAATGACAGCTTACTCTGTTATTTACTGTAAGATAGTTTATCCTTCTTCAGTACCTAATGGCGTATGTTTAAGAAAGTGAACTTTACAAAATTTCTACAATTCCCACTTTTAATAGGTTCAATGATTTAAAAATCGTTTGTTCATACTTTTAACAGTTTTATTTTTATTAAACGTGTTTAATTTTACGCGGAATGGCGTATAGTGTTGTTATTATCGTCGAAACGACGCGTTATCGCTGTGTTTTAATGAGAATTTGAATATCGTCTAATTGCCGGAGCTGTTCATATGGCTGTTCATATGTAGGTCGTCAGTTTGTTTGATGTGGATCCTTTGAAGTAGCTCTTGAGATGTTTATGAGTACAGTTGTGGTGCCAAGAGAGATCATGAGGCATTTAATTAGTCAAGTGCTCCTGTTTTTATAGAGAACTGTATAAATGTATTAATTAAAAACACTACTTTTAGAATTCTCCAGTTTGAGGACTGTGCTGTAGAAGCAGCACTGACCTTTTGCGCAATTACGAGAATGATGATGCTTGGGTTATACATCAGACCAACATCTTTCATTTAAAATGGTTCCATCTTTTAGCCTAGAAGATGGTAATCACAACAATATCATATTTTACATACAAACTTTCACAGAATTTTTTAAATAAAAAAAAAAATAAAGAGCATAATAAAAAATACTTTTATGCTGCAAAAATGGTTTCTCTTGTGTTTTTCATCCAAATTTTGGCAAACTTTTTCAATAAGTGGCAGGAAGACGTCTACCGACACTGGTGTAAACCTCAAAAGCACGCTATGGTTAACCCAGAGCAAATACCTTAAAACTTTGTTACATTTTACCACGTGTTATTTTGTGCACCGTGCCCCCCTAAAGGAAGAAAAAAAGGGCAAGTTTGTTTATTTAAATCTTATTTGCTAAGGAAAATAGCTTAATAAAAAGCAGAAGCTAAAGAGTTTTTTTTTTTTTTTGTCACTGAACACACATGAACACAGTATAATATGTAGAGCATTTTAATAGATCCGCTTCCAATTTAAATGATTCACTCAGCTTTAAATGCACTCTGGGTTAACACTTTATAGGTTTGCTCAATATATAAGCATTTTACATATTACATTTCATTAACCCTGCAGGGACAGGACGTCAACATTAAATCATATTGACTTTGTACCCCAATGTACCCCAACGTCGTGGAGATGTTGAATTTTGTTTGGAAATTAAAATTGGGTTGATGTCAGAACCCAACATCAGGCCAACGTCACTGTTCAACGCCCAACCTAAAATCAACCAAATATCAACGTCGAATCATGTTACAACTTGAAGTTGTGTGGACATTACCACTATGACACCTATCAGACGTTGGATTTTGGTCACTTTCCAACACAACCTAAAATCAACCAAATATCAATGTAATTTGATGTCGTCAAATGTCAAATGAACGTTATGTTTTACTGTCTAAAGCAGCTTTTTTCATATGAAGGGCCAAAAACCAAATGTCATTAATTGAGAGCCATGGGCTGAAGATAAATATACCAAACTATTTAACATTAAAGTTGCCATGGGTATTATTTCATAATATATAATTATTAAAAAATCAATTTGAATTATATTATCTAATGCATTATAACTTATTCCTATAAAAATATAAACAACCTCATTTATAACACAATGGAGTTCAATGCTGAATACACTAGTCAAGCAGAATCTGCCTTTGGCTTGATTTATTCTTTTTGTAACTTAACAATAATACAAACAAACAAATTTTGAAATGACCATCTCTAAACCATCCCCATAATTTCCCTTCTCTTCTCAGATGGGATGGTGGGCCAAACCAAAAGTTAGCATGGGCTAACTTTGGCCCGCAGGCCCTAGTTTAAGCATCTCTGGTCTACAGTAAATGCCAACACAAGTGCAAAACTATGTAACAAAAATATGTTAGCAGAAGTAGAAATAAAGACTAAAAGTATTTCCAAACCCAAAATAGTCCACTGAGTGAGTCAATTAAACATGTGAGCAAATTCACACAATGAGTGCACTGAAAGCACTCATTGGAGAGCATCCATTTTGTCGAGTTTTAGTTAAGGGTTATCCACTGGTCATTGAAGTGCGTTTGGTGTTAAAATCTGTGCACTCTATGATGACCTGTGCTAAATTTATTACTTGATATTTGTTGGCCATTACGGACTAAAAAATGACATAGGAACATAGTTAATAATAACACACTCTAGATTGAACGTTTTAGGTAATGTAGTATGATTACTTTTATGTAATAAACTAACTTTATGATATTGATTTAATTATGACATCAGTTTTTTCCATGTTAGAGAAAAAATACAAAAGTGAAAAAAAAAATACACTCATAAGGTGCATTAAATGTTTCATCAGCATTTTCTAAATGCGGGGATTACGAAAGAACTGCTGGGAGTTGGTAACTTTATATATATATATATATATCCCAGCGGATGCCCATCACTGGGAAACATCCATAAACTCTCATTTACTCACACTCTACGGACAATTTAGCTCCCCATTTGACCTATAGAGCATGTCTTTGGACTTGTGGGGAAAATCCACGCAAACACAGGGAGAATATGCCAACTTCACACAGAAATGCCAACAGCTGAATCTAATCATGTGTATGTTCAAATGTAGTTGGCTTGAATTGGTTAGTGGGCACGTGTACTTTCTTATACCAACTTATGTCATCTGTATTGATATTAAATTTGATGCCTTTACCCTGACCGTAAGCATGTGGTTTTTGTATTATCGTGTTGACCATTGTGGGTAAATGTCAACTTGCTGGAACCTGAATTTGGACAACCCCCATTTGACTTTGAGATGAATAACATTTTTCTGCAGTGATTCTGCAGTTCAGTTATGGAATCATCTAAACAGGGATTTAAGATAATGGTAGTGATTCAGTTTGTTGATGCTACTCTTTGAGTTGTTTTGGTATATCATTGTAAAAGACCTTAAAGGCAGACATGTTCAGCACCTTTGAGCAGCCAGATTCATTGCCATGTAGATTTACAGCCTCAATCACTTTATCTGACCAAGACCAATTGTAAATGTCCACAAGAACAAGTAAGCACAAAGCCATAGAAGTACCATTAGCTCACTAGGTCTTTCCTCTTCTATCATGATCCTGAAAACTTCAAAGCTTTGGACTCAATGGCTATTTGTCTTATCTAACCGTGGGAAAAAGCAAATGGAAAAGCGTTTTCCCTCCATTTCATTGGCAGATGGTTGACTGCAAAGATAGTCTGCTGTGATGCGAAGGACAGCCCTCTTAACATTCTCTACCAGAACCACAAACTCATGTCCTTTTTAGTATACAGTTGAAGTCAGATTTATTAGCCCCCCTGAATTATTTGTCCCCCTGTTTTGTTTTCTGCCAATTTCTGTTTAACGGAGAGGTTTTTTTTTTCCAACACATTTCTAAACAATAGTTTTGATAACTCATTTCTAATTTGCCACAATGACAGTAAATAATATTTTACTTGATATTTTTCAAGACACTTCTATACAGCTTAAAGTGACATTTAAAGGCTTAACTAGATTAATTAGGTTAACTAGGCAGGTTAGGGTAATTAGGCAAGTTATTGTATAATGATGGTTTGTTCTGTAGACTATTGAAAAAATATATAATTTAAAGATTTAAAAAAATGTAAAAAATACTTTTATTTTAGCCGAAATAAAACAAATAAGACTTTCTCCAGAAGAAAAAATATTATCAGACATACAGTGAAAATTTCCTTACTCTGTTAAACATCATTTGGTAAATATTTAAAAAAAGAAAAAAAAAACCAAAGGGGGGCTAATAATTCTGACTTCAACTGTATATGTAAAACGGCACTATGGAGGTTCTGTGTGGTTCCTGTGTGGTTGCAAAGATGTTGTGAGTGGTTGCTATAGGGCATAATTGCTTCATTTTTGTACTTTTTTGTTTCCTAAGTGCTGACAAAGAGTGACACATGCATTTATTTTTTTCCATCAATGCAGAGGTTCAAATGGCATCTGTTCTGAAATATATATATTTTTTTTAAAGTTCTAAAAAGGGAGGTTTTTCTGCAGTGCAATAAGAAGAAGCCGTCTATGTTTGGGTCCCCAAAGAATCTTTTATTTAAAAAGGAATATTTCGTCACCTTAGAATTATAAACTTCTATTGTACATTTGTGTCAAAATTGAGTTCAAATATTTAACTAATAAAAAAAATTCACATAATGTAAATAAGTTGTTTACATTTTAAGACCTTTTATTTAAAAAAAATAAAAAAGGTTTTATATGCAAAGTTGAACGCTATCTTGGCTCTATAAGGTTTTTGTGAGTCAATCAGCATTTCGAATCCATGCACAAGGACCGATCAGGATCAGCTTTCTTTGCCATTCCGCCAACTAAATAATGCTGCACCACACAAAATTGAGCAGAAACCTGAAAGATGTGTGTAAATGTGATGATTTCGATTTTTTACATTGAGATGAAATTTTCAATTTTACATTGTTAAAAAAATTTATTATATCAAATGTTTAATATTTTTATTTGTGTGTGTTTATATAGTTAGTGAAACATTTTTCAGGGTTTATTAAGCTTGTTTGCTCATTGTCTGTTTTCTTTTAAAGTCTTTAAATTTGATGTACTATGAAGAATGGAAAATTCTTAATTTAATTAATGGTGCATATTATTCAATAAATATAATTCAATAATCCATATAAAGCATATATTTCAATAAATATTACCATAACTAATACATAAAATTAACTGCTGCACTGGACAAAATATTTAGCACAGCCTTGTATGCTTAATTCGAACAAGAAAAAATACTAAATACTAAAACATTAAATAAATGTTATAGAAAG